CAGCACACGTTGCAGGCTCCAAAGCAAATGCACAACGCCGAAGCGGATTCCAGAACGGACAGCCAAAGTCGAGAGCCGCCGAGTGCGTGCTATAGCCGCAGAATTTGTCCTACAACGACTAACGCAGTTGTGTAACGTCGCTTTGTATCCAACGAAGACAACACGCTTCCATTACGCTAAATCCAATTATTTGCTTTCGGATATGCCGATTTTGAATCGCACGAACAGACCTTACAACTGTGGATTCACATGTCGGGCACATTTTGCGTGCTCGTTGTCTGGGCATGCACCGATTGCTTGCTCGTTTACTTGTCCGGCGCCAGACGTGCGCTCGGAAGGCACCCTGCGATCGTTTCCAGACCATGGATGGGCCCATACAGCCACGGAAACATGTCACGACTGGGCCGCGATAGAAGCGTCATTGAAAACGCGCAAAATCCTCCCCCAATATGACCGCAGGGCAGCACTGATGCGAAACCGAACTGCGGGACTTGCATCCCGGCCCGTCATTCATTGGAGCCTAGTTTTTTCCGGTGGGGTCCCTCATTCCCTGAGCGACAGCATTTTCACACTGTACACGTCCGGGGTTCGGGATCCTGGCCAGATCACGCAACACGAGTGACGTGCTAGGCTTCTACGGGGTTGTAGGGACTTCCATCTCTCCTTAACCCCTGCTCCCTTTCGGGGGTACCGTCGCGGCGAGGTCGGGCCTGCGAGCCACGTGTGCGTTGGGGCGCCCCCGCAAACAAAAAAAGAAACCTTCAGCGCGGCACGGCGATGTGCTCGTCTCCGTGAGCCACCACCCACCAACCCACACCAACCCAACCCGAAGGCCCCGATTTGCGTTCCATTTCTAGTAGGGGGTGGCCGGGGAACATCGGCAACAAGAAACACAGATGAAGTCCGTACCCCCCAATCCGAAATTCGGATCTTCGGGTTGGGTTGGGGTGGTTTGGTGGGTAGTCAGTGAGGAGGCGCCGCAATGGCGCAGTGTGGAAACCAAGCGCTGCGCACACGCATACCGAGGCCTCGCGTGCGGTTTCTCCTGCAAATCGCCAGGTCCACCGGCGAACGGAATTTCAGGGTGCTAACGGCCATGTGAAGTCCACCCGACGTTTCGCACCCAAAAAAATGGTTCCAGCACGTCGAATCCAAGATGGAACATCTCGCGAGAACCAGGGTAACAAACAACGCGTGCAACGTCAGAAGGTTGACGAAAAAAGTCGACCAGCTGCGCTGGAAAGGCTGAACCGTGTGCCGATTTCGAATCCACCCTGCCAATATCGAAGCCGCACAGAAGGCAACGACAAATGGTACGTTAACGCGCGTGGAGCGTTCGCGATGTTGCCTTTTGTGAAAGCTGCCCAGGTATATGTGTAGTTACACACCCGTATATTCACATATGAACACATACAGGGAGTCCAAAAAACTACGACGGCATGCCCGGGCTCAGTTTTGAGGGCGTGCTCTAAAATCAGATGGTCAAAATTCCTTGTGTTCTTTCATGCCCTGCCGTCATCGCGCGAGTGATACTCGAAAACCTAGTTTAAAAAAGGGTCACGGTTCTCTTCCCCAAGATTTCCCTCCGGATTGTCCTCCAGATCTTCCCCCAGATTTTCCACCAGATGTTTCGTTTGATCTCCCCACAGATCTTCACCGAGATCTCCTCCCAGATCGTCACGCAGATCTTGAGGTCTTCCTCCAGATCGTTATTCAGATCTTCTCCTTTTCCCTAAAATTCCCCCGCCGGATCTTCACCCAGATCTTCGCTCAAATCCCCTCCTAGATCTTCACCCAGATTTTCCCTCATAGCTTGGCCCAGATCTCCCCCCGGATCTCCCCCCAGATCTTCCCCCAGATTTCCTCCCAGATTTCTTCCCGGATCTTCCTCCAGATCTTCGCCCAGATCATCCCCCAGATCTTCCCCCAGATCTTCCCTCAGATCCCCCCTAGATCTCCCCCCAGATCTTTCCCTAAATCTTTCCCCAGATTTTACCCCAGATCTTCCTCTAGATCGTCCCCCAGATCTTCCCCCAGATCTTCCCCCAGATTTTCCTCCAGATCTCCCCAGATCTTCCCCCAGATCTTCCCCCAGATCTTCCTCCAGATCTTCCCCCAGATCTTCCCCCAGATTTTCCTCCAGAACTTTCTCCAGCTCTTCCCCAAGATCTTCGCTTCGATGTCTTTGCCCAGATCTTCCCCCTGATCTCCCCCCCCGATTTCCCCCCCAGATCTCCCCCCAGATCTTCTTCCAGATCGCCGCGCAGATCTTCCCCCAGATTTCCCCCCAGATCTTCCTCCAGATCTTCCCCCAGATCTTCCCCCAGATCTTCCTCCAGATCTTTCCTCAGATCTTCCCACAAATATCCCTCTAGATCGTCCCCCAACTCTTCCCCAAGATCTGCCCCGAGATCTCCCCCCAGATCTTCCTCCAGATGTTTCTCCAGATTTTCGCCCAGATCTTGCACCAGATATTACCCCAGATTGTCTTCCAGATCTTTCCCCAAATGTCCCACCGGATGTTTCCCCCCAGATCTCCCCCCAGATATTCTTCCAGATCGCAGCGCAGATCTCCCCTCAGATCTTCCCCCAGATCTCCCCCCAGTTCCCCCCAAAGATTTTTCCCCAGATCTTCCTCCAGATCTTTCCATAGATCTTCCCCCATCTCCTCCCCCCAGATCTGGGGGGAAGATCTGGGGGATCGAGGTTCGAGGCCTTCTGGCCTTGCCAGATGTTTCCCAGATGTTCCGGCAGATCTTCCCCCAGATCTTCCCCAGATCCCCGATTCCCAGATTTCCCCCAGGCTTCCCCCCAGATCGTCCAGCAGATTTTTCTCCAGATTTGCCCCCTGATTCTTCGCCAGCATTTTCCCCGAGATCTTTCCCCAGATTTTCCCCCATATCTTCCTCCAGATCTTTCCCAAAATCTTCCCCCAGATCTTTCCCCAGATCTTCCCCCAGATCTTCCCCCAGATCCCCCCCCCAGATCTCCCCCCAGATCTTTCCCTAAATCCTCCCCCCAGATCTTACCCCAGATCTGCCTCCAGATCTTGCCACAGATCTTCCCCCAGATCTTCCCCTAGATCTTCCTCCAGATCTTCCCCCAGATCGTCCCCCAGATCTTCCTCCAGATCTTCCCCCAGATCTTCTCCCCAGATCTCCTCTCAGATCTTCCTCCAGCTGTTCCCCCAGATCTTCCCCGAGATCTCCCCCCAGATCTTCCTCCAGATGTTCCTCCAGATCTTCGCCCAGATCTTCCACCAGATCTTACCCCAGACTGTCTCCCGGATCTTTCCCCAAATGTCCCTCTGGATGTTCCCCAAGATTTTCCGCCAGGTTTTCGCCGAGATCTTCCTCCAAATCGTCACCCAGATCTTTCCTCTGATCTTTCCCGATGTTGTCCCGCAGATCGTTTCCTATGTTTCACTTTCTATTCACCCAGATACTGATTCTGATCTTCCCCAGATCTCCCCCCAGATCTTCCCCCATTCCAGATCTTCCCCCAGATGTTTCCCCATACCTTCTCCCTCTGATCTTCCTCCATATCTTCCCGAGATCTTCCCGCAAATCTTGCTGCAGATCTACGATGCACTACACCTCCAAATCTCCCTCAGCACATTCCCCAGATTTTCGCCCAGATCTTCCACCAGATCTCCCCTCAGATGTCCCTCCAGATCCTCCTCCAGACTTCCCGCCAAATGTTATCTCCGACATGTTCCCTCAGATCTCCCCCAGATCTTCCGCCGAATATTCCTCCAGATTTATCGCCTTGCAGCCGCGCCAAATCTTCCATTGGACAATCCCGAGATCTCCCGACAGATCTTCCCCCAGATCTTCCCCCTGCTGTTCCAGGGCGTCCCTTGTTTTGTTTCATGCCGCGTCGGGGGTCCGGTTCTTGTTTGTTGAATTCCTAGTTTTGTTTTTTTGCCTCGCTTCGGGGCTGCGACCTCTACGCGGCAATCTAGAATTTAAATCCCTTGCGTGTTTCAACCTCCCTGTACATACAGACAGACAGACAGACAGACAGACAGACAGACATACACACACACACACACACACACCGTGCGCAATCATCGACACGTCTTCGTATGCATATAGATGTAATATGCATTGTATGCATTTGATACATAGATATGTGTACATATATAAATATGTGTCGAAGGTCCCTCTCCATGTTCAGCGATTGGTTTTTTATGTGTCAGTCTCTCCCGCTCTCTCTCTCTCTCTCGTTCTCGCTCTGTCTGTCTTTCTCGCTTTCGTTATCCCCCCCTTCTTCCACTGTCGATGTGTATGTATAGGAGTGTGTTTGTTGTTCCTCTCTCTCTGTCTTTATCTATACAGCTATGTATCGCGTGATATACGTGTCTCTCTGTCATCTTCTCTCTTTCTCTCTTTGTGCCCCCCCTCTCTCTCACTCTCGGTGTTGCTCTCTCGTTCTTTCTTTCTCTCTCTCTCTCTCTCTCGCTCTCTCATTGTCTCTCCCGTTCTCTCTCTCTCTCTCCTTTTTTGTTCCCTCTCTCTCTCTCCCTCTCTGCCTTTGTTATACATGGCTCTCTCTCTCTCTCTCTTCCTTTCTGTGCTGCCCACGTTTCTTGGCTAGAAGGAGGAGTAGGAGGACCTGCTGCAGGAGAAGTATGAGCTTGGGGTAAGTGGGGAAGTGGACGAACTCACCTGCAGTTGGCAGCGCGGAGAGGCGAAAAAGGAGGAGACAGACAAGGAGAAGGCTACTGACGTCCGTTCGTTGTGACACAATCGTGATGGGACGAATAGCTTCTCTTCCGGCGCCCTGCGGGGTGATCTTTCCCACTCCACGTTTTTTTTTGTTGTTGCGAGCGATCGTCTTGTTGCCATTGCTCCTCCTCTTCCTCCTCCTCCTCTTCCTCCTCCTCCTCCTCCTCCTCCTCCTCCTCCTCCTCCTCCACCTCCTCCTCCTCCTCCTCCCTCCTCCTCCTCCTCCTCCTCCTCCTCCTCCTCCTCCCCCTCCCCCCCCCCCCTCGCGAGGCCCAGTGCGCCACCTTCTTCGAGAAGGTGCGCGATGGCACCGACTGGAAGCAGCCGCAAGGCGGCCCCTCTTCGGGAGGAATGGCCCGCCAAGACGTGTCTTCAACGAACGAGCGGGGTACTCTATAAACGAGAGGGTTCACGAGGCTCTTTGCCGCTTGCGGGCCCACGGGGCCCTTCGCAGGGCCCCCATCCCGGGTCCCGCGGGACCGTCAAGAAGTTACAGTCCGTTCGAGGTATAAGATATGAGAGCGAGGTCGTTTCGGGGAGGGTGCCCCAGTGTTCTTCGTGCTCGCTGGACGTTCTTGTACACCTGGGGGGGGGGCAACCACTGCAAGTCTTGTGCGCTCTGGCCGTCGGTGGGTCCCACGGTCTTGAGGGATGTTCTTCTGGCCCAGGTCCGACTGTATCTGGGAGGAGGAGGAGGAGGAGGAGGAGGAGCGTCCTGGGAGAACCCCCATGGGGGTCCAGGCCCCGGGCCTCTCCGTCCTCGGGGCGCGCGCACCCATCTCCTCCGCGCACTGCTGACGCCGCCGCAGTGCGTGCCTATCTGGATGGGCCGACTATCTGTCGTCACGGCTGGATTCGCCCCGAATCTCCTGGTCAGAACGCACCCTGTGAGAGGTCCGGGGAGTAGCATTAAGTCGGGCCTGTCCCCCTACAGGGGGATTTTCGACGAAACAAAGATGTTCCAAAAATCGTCCAAAAATAGTCTGGGGACTATTTTTGTATTTTCTAACCGTTTTGGAGTATTTTTGGGTTTTTTTTTATTTTTCATCGAAAATCCCCCTGTATGGGGGACACGCCCGACATAACAGAACGCACTTTGTGTGAGGTCCGGGGAGTAGCAGTATCGGTATCTGTTGGTTTCCCCTTTTATTTGCTCTTTGCCTTCTTTTCCCAGGCCCGCGTCCATGTTCAAACCCCGTCGTCCCTGATCCCTGCGGCCGTTCACAGCGAGCACCTGAGATCGTCGAGGAGGAGGATATTGCATTGTGCAGAAGCGCCGTTGATCTTGCGCGAACGCACTCGCCTGAGAAGTTTCTTGCGCCCATCATCAGCAGTTCTTCCAAGGAGGCTTCACCTGGGAGTATTTTGTTTCTTCGATTCTTCCAGCCAGCAAGTCGGAGTCGCGCATACGCGTCGAAAATAACCCGTGACATTGGTTCAGCTGCACGCGAGCACCAATTGGGCAGTCTGGGACCCCAGGCGGCGCGATTGACCATCGTGTCCCCAGCCCACTTCCCTCAGTTCGAAGCTGGCACCTTTTGACAAGGACGGCTGGGTATTTATGGCACCCTGATGGGTAGACTCCCTGGAAGCACCGTCAGGGATCAAAATCCATCTCTTGTCGAGCCGCGCCCTGCAGGGCAGGACAGCCCGACCATGTCCAGCAGGGCAAGGCTGACCAAGAGAAGGGCTTCGAGCGCTTCCCCATTGGCAGATTCGTCCAGGTGCTCCAATGATAAATTGCAGAAGGATTGTATGCACTCACAGATGGTGGTCCCCCGCCTTCATGGCGCAACGGTGCCCCGACACACCAACCGGATCAGATAACAGCGCCCTTTCGGCAATGCGATGACACAACACCGAAATATACCCGGAGTCGCGCAGTGCTCGCGCGCATCACTGGCACAGTTCAAGGCAGCCGCGCGTCATTTCTTTTCGTGGCGACCGCGCGCCGTGGTGCCTCGAGCAACCGCCTCCAGGGGCGCACGCAGAGAGTTCGCGAAATGCCAGCGGGCAAGGGTCTCGTTGTGCAATTGGCATTCGCTGCGCCGCCGTGCTCGAGTGAGCACTCTGTCCCATCGCTGGTGTGCGATAGCGCTTCTTCGGAGGCAGCGCGGAGGCGTTTGCATGCCTGGCTGCGCAACGCATTGCGCAGCTCCCGAAGGTCCCGGACTGAGAATTTGGGTGGAGTCGAGCGCCGCGGCTGCGCGCGTGCTCGCGTCCGCACGTCAAACAGCGATAACGCTTCTTCGGGTTACCGCTCCATGGCAAACTTTGGCCGATGCATGGTTAATTATCTTCTTTCATTTGGGCCGTCTCTAGGGGTACTAACTGCGGGGTTGCCTGAGACATCGGGATGGTCATTCGGGATGTGGTCCTATCTTGAAATGTGTAGGGGCCGTTTGGGGCAGCTTCGACGCATCTCTGACCGCTCGAAGGGCTCTCCCACACTGCGCCGCGCAATCTGGGATTTATCTGGGGCTCGGACTACGCTGGTAAACCAGGCGGTAGCCGGCAGACTCGTGGTGGAGAGGTTACATGTTGTTAGGGCGCGATTGCAAACGGGTGCATTTCCGAATATCGGCCCCTTGAGAGGGGACGCCACCTGAATGTTTTCAGGGAGACCCGTTTTAAGCAATTGCCACGCTGGAAAATACTTCAATCAGCATGAAAATCTGTCAGTCGAGGAATAATTGTCAATGAGGGATGTTTTTTGTGCGAAGCACGCAGGCACTTACAGGCAGAGCGATGCCTAGTGGGCCAGCTTGGGACTTCGACGCCCTCCCAAGGCTTGAAGAGGGCCTCGAGTGAGTCATGGGGGGCGTCAAACTTGCGGGCGCTGAAGTGACACCCCAGAAGCCCCTCTGAAGGGTCCATCTTGGAATTTTCCCAACGGCTTTCGACCCAAGGAGCCCCCAGGCGGCCCCCAAGATGGCCTCAAGAGGGCCGGGACAGCGCACTGGGGAGTGTCAACTGTCAAGGGCGCTGAAGGTGGTCCTCTTCTAAGGGCTCCACGGGGCTCTGTTGGGACCTTCCTGTGGCCCTCCCGTAACCCCGAGGAGGCCCTGAGAGAGCATGACAAAGCCCCCACAGGGACTCCAAGAAGGCGCCAAGAAGGCCTCGAACAGAGCCGATGCAGCTGTAACGTTTGCGGGCGCCGAAAAAGTGACAAGCTGATGGTTCCCTGTGGAGCCTTCGGGCCCTCCCGAGCTCCCGAGGAAGATGTTCGATTCGAGGTCCCCAAAGAGCTCCCAGCGGCCCTCAAGGAGGGCTTCAAGAGAGCTCCGTGGGTGGCACTTCCACATGCGCTGAAGATGAATGACCCTGAACGGCGCTCCTGGGGCGGTCTGGGCACCTTCCTGATGCCTTGCGGCAGTTCCAGGGATGCTTTAAGAGGCCTCCATGAAGCCACCGGAGGGTCTCCAATGCGGCGCTAAGGCTGTGTAAGGAGAGGCCTAGATCGGTGTCTTTTTCACCGGCGCGCAGGGTGACACTCTAAAGTGTCCTCTTAAGGCCCTTCTGGGACCCTCCTGCGCCTTTACGGATGTCCCAACGGGGGCCTCTAGAGGCCCCGCGAAACTTTTAGAGTATCCCTTGGGAACCTCCATGGGAGCCTCCAGAGAGCCTCCGAGGATGTCAATTGCACTGGCGCTGAGAGCATTTCTCCTGGAAGGGGTCGCGTCTGGGCCTTCTGGCCGCCCACCGGCGGCCCTCGCGAAGCTCCGGGGAGGCCCCGAGAAGGCACCCGGAAGCTCCCAGTTGGCCCCCCCAAGAGGGCCAGAAGAGAGCTCTGCACGCACGAAATGGGTATTGAAAGAATGGGTACGATGCCAAACAGCGGATCTTGTTCATTTTGAACAGGGCTCGCTGTCCACGCCGCCGCGGCCTGTGTCCACTCGAGACAGAAAGCCGCCTGCCCAACAGCGGCCGCTGTTGGCTTGGGACAACATTTGTTGTTGGGCATAGCGCCCATTCTGTCCGTACCCATTTCGGGCGTCCAAAAGAGCCAGGGGGGGGCGTCGCGCGCCGCTGGAGGAACGGCACCGCGCAGGGCGCCCTGGGCAGTTTTCATGGCGAGGTGTCTCTTGGCAGGGCTTCGCGCGAAGGCTCGCAGCCGGGGCGGCTTTCGTTTTCGACCTTGGCAGGAGGCTGTGTCGTGCTTGTGCGACCTGTGGGTGTGCCATGGGGGTTGTCGATGTCGACATCCGATTGGGGCTTTAGTGCTCCCGGGAGCCGCCCCACATTGAACCCTGTACCGACCTAGCCGAAGGAAGTCGACACTTGAAGGTTTCTTTGTTTATTATCGTTTCCGACATGACAGGATGGCCTTCTTTTTGTCCGACATTACAGGGTGCAAGAGAATGCCTGGGGCAAAGGGAGTTGTGCCTATAAGTTCATGTGTTTTCGCGCTGTTTGGCAGGGTCCCTGAACTGTTGGATCACGGACAATTCATCGCGGAGGGAAGCGATCGTCTTCTTTTTCATTGTTTGCCGATCGTCGCGGGCCCTCGCACCCCCCCTCCCCCCCCCCTTCCTCCTGGAGTGGATCTTGGCTGTTTTTTGGCGCCTGTTTCGACTAGTTGGAGGCTCTCCCCCATAGGACGCACCGCTGCAAACAGTCGCACTGAGCAGAGGTCTGGAGCCAGACCCCCCCCGTTCCTCCCCAGTGCCGAAACGCTCACGACTTCATGGGGGAGGGGGAGGGGGGCGGGGGCGGGCGGGCAGGGCAAAGACGGAGAGGAGGAGGTGGACGAGAACGCAAGAGAACCACGATGAGGAACGGCAGGGCGCCCATCTTGGGTTGGCGCCGGAGCCCTGCAGGGCCCTTTCGGAGCCCGCGGGCCCCCCCCCCCCAAGGCCTCTCGACATCCTGGGGAGACCCTGAGGATCCCCCAGAGCCCCCAGGAGCCCCAAGAGGGTTGTCAAGAGGGCCGCTGGAGGGCCTCTTACCAGAGCCCTCGGACGTGTCAGCCTTCGCTGGCGTTGGGAGCTACCCATTGGGGGGCTCTCTGGAGGTCCTCGCAGGCACTCCCGAGGCTGCGACGAGGCCCCTCCGCGAGGTCCGTTTCAGTTCAGAGAGTGTCCTTAGTGAGGACAATCGGCAGTCTTCCGCCTGCTGACATCGGCGGGGCGTTTCCGCCAGATGATTCGACGTGCGCGAAGTCCCAATCAGCGCAAGCAGTAATCGGAGAAGCAGCCGCCCCACAAAGAGCAGTCGCTGTACGTTCTGCTGCCGGGTGCTCCCCAGCCTGTGCCTCCACGGATGCCACCATACCCTGTCCCAAGGGATTCCGCGACATCATATGACACGCCTTGCTCCCCATACGACATGCCGGCGCAATGCTTGATGCCATTCCCCCGAGACTGATGGGTGCGAGCGCGCGCCGCCGCGAGCGCGGCCGCGCTGGTTGATCTGCCACCCCGCAAATTCTACGGCCGGAGCAGAAAGTGGGAGCCCACATGAAACCTCAGCGCGCGCCCTTTGCAGCCCCAACCGAACGCGGCATTATACATGGCACCAGCAAGTGCATGAGGCAGTGCCGTGCGCGAGGACAGCGCGTCGCCGCGCGCGCGCGAGCGAGGGCGACCCGGCTCATCGGAGTCACCGCGGGCGCGCTCGCGCGCTTTATTGCGCGGCTTGTTCCGTCCACGATGGAACAGTGCCATGCTGGCTTGGACCCCCATGTGAACCTCTATCGCCGAGCGCGCTCCACTACTCGCAAAGTGCCCACTCGCAAACGTCCGAACACACACACACACACATGTCTGCTTCGATGTCACTCATCGAGGATCCCTCGCGGCGGATCCAGTCCGTCTGCGAGCAGTGACTTTGCGAGCTCGTGGAACGCTCTCGTCTACCCTAGCGAGTGCAAATTTGGATTCTTTGCTCCACGTGTTAGTTCCCGCGTGCCGCGTGCGTGGATGCGGCTTGGCGCGCCAGGGCGGGGGGAGGGCGCCGCCGCCACCCTCGCGCGGGCTTTTGCTGGTCGGGGCCCGACCGCGCGCGCGCCAGGGGGCCGCCCACGGCGCGGGCGCCCTGCTTTGGCGGCTGCTCTGCCTCGTCCGCGATGGAAGCGCCGCCGCTCCGGCTCGGAGCGTCCACTGTGCCCTCGGTGCGGGTGATTTGGACTCACAGCGTTGCAAGAGTTCAGTCGCTGGAAATGGGGATCGGTTAAACGGTACTCAAGAGCCACAGGCCCCCCACGTGCCCCACACGGGGAAGCGCGATGTGCGCGAACGGAGGGCTGCCGCGCGCGCGGTCCGGTGGCGCGCACGCGAGCGCGCAGCCGCGCAAGCCATTTTTCCATGGACCGTTCGCGCGGGTGTTGTTTGGGCACGTCGAGCGCGCGGGCATTCCAATCAATACACACACCACGATGGCTTTGCGAATTACTAGCGCATGCTTCAAGAGCCCCGCCTGGCCGCCCCGCCTCTTTCGGACTTGAACAGCGGGGCGACTTCCAGGAGGGGGCTGGGCCTGGGAGCTAGCTCTCGAGCTGGCGCTGCGCCCCATCCTGCCGCCACTTGACGCGCAGGAGCACATGCTTCGCCTGGGCCGATGATACCGAGAATGCTCGTGGCAGCGCTTGCCCGCGCTCAGATGGTTCGCCGGCCAGCCGCCCTGGCTTGCCCTTGCCTCCCCCCTTGCCCCCCGTTGGCGGCTGGGCGTCGGCGTTAATCACCGGTGCCGCCCCGTTGATTTTCAACCTGGCGGGCGCCACCCCGCGATTCGCCCGAGCAGGGGAATTATTGTTTCAAACCCTCGCCCCCCACGAAGCGCCTCCCAGGGGTCTGACGCGGAACGGCGTTTCTTGAAGGCGGGGACGCCGCCGCCGAGAGCGCGCGCCCAAGCGACTCGATCGCGCCGTCTCAGCGCCGTGCCGTTTGGGAAGCTGCGGGGCGGCGCACGTTCCCCAAATCCCGCGGCGTCCGGGTCACGCGGCGCTTGGCGGTCCGAAGATCGAGGCGCGCGGCCGGTGCGCGGCGCCGGCTTTTGGCGGGGGCGGAACCCATCCCAGCCCCGATCGGTGTTCCATGCAGCCCGGGAGGGTGCCCCGGTGTTCTCCGTGTCTGTTGGATGTTCTTGTGCACTCGGGGGGGGGGATCAGAGGCCTGGAGGTTGACACCAACACCAAGATCGGTGGTGTGCCTCCACCGAGGGAAGACGATCCCGATCTCGGCGATGGTGGTGATACTCTGGCTTCCAAGGTGGCCGAAATATTACCACCAACGCCGAAACCTAGGATCATCTTCCCCATGTGGAGGCAACCCGCCTGTGTTGGTGTTGGTGCCCATTCCCAGGCCTCCAAAGGGAGCCCTTGGATGTTGTGTGCGTTTTGGCCGACGGAGAGTCATGCTCCGGAGGGAGGTGTCTGTTCTGGCCTGGGTCCGGCTGTCGCATCTTGAGGAGGTGGCGGAGAGGCAGGCGGCACAAGCAGGAAAAGGATGTGGAGCACACCTGCAGCGTTAGAGGAATAAATTGACGAAGGTGATGGGTGCAGGAATATGCAGAGGACGATCACGAAAACGAGGAATCGTACGGAAAAGTGAGCAGGGCGGAGGAACCCTTACGGCGGCACGATGATGACGAGGAGGAACACCAGCAAAATGGGGAGCAAGAGCTGCTGGCGTTTGGGAGTGCCCTCCGACGTTCCTACGCCGGCCTCCTGTCGGAAGAGGGGGACGAAGAGAGGGAGAAGGGAGACGATGAGACGACGGGGAAAATGAGGAACAAACGGGGAATGAGGAGGCTGGCGTTCGTCGGCGCGTCTTGGGAATGTACTTTGCTATGGAACGGGTGACGTTGTCATTGCGCCTAGTACAGACGCGTGCCTTCATCTAGGGTGCATTTATATCCTTGCCTCTGCGGCCCGTCCTTTGCCGTTTTTACTAGTCGCCCGTCGCCCCAAACATCCCAATTCGGCCCCCAAGGTATCTGCGTCCTTGCCACCCGTCATTGCGGTGGAGGCCCCATGCCAAGAAACACCGTGCTTGCCGCCAGGGTGCCCTGGGTTTCTTGGATCACGATGGTTTTGCAACGGAAAGCGTGACGTTCCCACAAAAATCAATGCACGTCCTGGGGTCTAGTGGAAGGTTCAGGCCTCCACTTGAATGCACGTTTCGGCTGGGCAGCGGTGCGATGATGGCTCGGCATGCGTGCGGCATCTCGGTGCCGCGCTTGTTGTCGCCCCCTGCCGCTCCTCCCCAAAGGCACCCACGGCCTGATGCCTCGGAAGACGGCGTGGATGACGAAGAAGGGCTGCACGTGCACCTACAGATACGGTGTCTTTGAGGTGCCCAGCGAGGAGCGGGGGCGAAAAAAGGCAGAGGGAGAGAGAGGGCGAACACCCCCCTCCAAATAAAGAGAGAGAGAGAGAGATAGAGAGAGAGGGAGAGATAGAGAGAGGGAGAGACAGCTTAAATAAAGCAATAGAGAGAGGAAAGAGAGAGAGAGAGAGATAGTTCGAGGGGGAGAGACTCCCTTCCCCACCCATCTGCTCCTTGGCCCCTCCCCTGTCCAACAAGAAATGTCTAATCTTGCCACGCCCTGCCCCCATTCGGCACAATTCCTCGGATGGTCTCGTTTCCGCTTCACTCGCTCTCCCCTGGAGCTTCCCTCGTCCTCCTCTTAGACATTCTGGCTGTGGTAGAGGACGGACGCAGCAAACTCGGTGGCACAAGCCTCAGCACGGCTCTTTGCTCCACCTGCTATCGAGTTGCCCAGCGCGGCTCCGTGGATCACGACACCACATGGCGGCGCCTCGTGCCAACAGGAAGATTGCTGTCCAGGAGGGCCGCGCTTGCGCGGGAGCTTGGAAGCGCGGAGTCTGGGTAGTCGAAGGCCAGACTGTCAGATTGGATTGGGCCCCAAGGGCCAATCTGGCCTGGCCAAACTGGAGGATTGGGGTTATTCGCCAGACTGGATTCGCGTTGGCTCCCTCGTCAGATTGCCCCCGTTTGCCAGATTGGGCCTGCCAGATTGGCGCCAGATTGGCTTCGACTACCCAGGGAGTGCGCGTCCTCATGAGCGTCGATGGAATTTGGCAACGGTGCGCGCCCTGCCTGCCACCCTGCTGGAGGTCCAGGGGGGGGGAACCCGGGCCGCCGGACCCTCTCGCCTCGGAGAGGTTGGTACGAATCGCCGTGGTGCCGTCGCCCAGGCGGGGGGCATCGCACCCCCCCCTCCCGCCCCCCTCCGCCTCCTCCTCTTCCTCCTCCTCTTCCTCCTCCTCCTCGTCCTCATCCTCCTGTTCCTCCTTTTCCTCCTTCTCCTCCTCTTCCTCCTCGCCCTTCTCCTCCTTGTCCTCTTCCCCCTCCTTTTTCTCCGTTTCCTCCTCCTCGTTCTCCTGGAGTAGATCTTGGCTGCTGTTGGCGCCTGTGTCGAGCAGCTGGAGCTTCTCCCCTCCTAGGACGCACTTCTGCAGACAGCCGCACGAAGCAGAGGTCCAGAGCCAGACCCCTTCCCTTCCCCCCCTGACCGCCGAATGTCGAAGCGCCGAATAAGAAAACGCTCACCATCAAAACTCCTGCCGAAGCTGCTCCGACCAGAGCTATTAACGCAGGGGCGCCGGAGGACGGCAAGACCTGGGCAGAGAATGGTTGCGTCGATACTTGTGTTCGAGACCTTGTACAGTGCCGTTTGCATAATTAGGGTGCCTCGTGCCAGTGGGAATCCTCAAACACCTCGGTTGGGGCAAGACCACGCACGCCAATCAGCGTGCGTTCGAGACCAAGTACGGAAAAGGCTACCGATCTGCATTGCCACGGGCTGTTTGATTCGAATCTCAACCGTGACAACGCATGGCGCAACAGGTGCACGTGTAAGCATGGTTGTTGTAGCTTCAGATTTGGCAATAGACTTCACGCGCATCCGATCGACTATGACCAAGAGGGCTTCTAGATATCCCCTGGAATCGTGTGGCTTCTTAGCTTCTTGCAGTCCCGATTTCTTTCGGCATCGTTTGGTCAGTGCACGTCCTGTACACGGGTTTGCTGGTGCGCTGTGCCAGTTCTTTCTTTCGACGGAGGTAGGGATGTAGTGCCTCAGCCTCTATATATGCTCCTGTCTGGCTCTACCATTAGACCTTCCCGTGGAAAAAAAACACTAAGCATGTGTATGCGGCGCCTTTGTTGCCTGTAGTTTCACGTGTGATCCAACGTTGACAAGGATATTGCTTCATCGGTCGTCAGACCTGTAAACAATTTGATCGATCGACGTGTTTGTATTGTGTAAATAGTTCGTGGGGTCGGTAGGTATAATCAAGTAGACAGAGAGATCGATATATGGACATCGGGATCATGAGATACATCGCAGAATCGCCATATATAGAGATGCGATCCCGAGCTGGCGCCAATCGCAAACGGATGACTTCCTAATCGCCCGAAGGGTGGGACTTTAGGTCGCATCTACAATCGCCAATGCAGAGGACACGATAGTGCCTGAGGGCATCTCAGCACTTGCCTACGACTTGGTGGCGGCTGTTCCTGGACCGGGGACGAGAGGCGCCCCACAGGAGTTCCCGCCCTACATGATCGAGCTCCTGAAGCTGGTAATGCCGATGTGCGGCATCACTAACCAGCAGGCCCAGACCTCCGCCAACCCTGGCCCCCATTGATCGGTCCGGCCGCAGTCCACGGCTCCCCCATGCCCCCAGAAAGAGGAGGACCCAGACTTCCCACGTCGCGTTTTTTGGCTCGATTCGCTGGTTTCACCTGGCGTCGGCTTCTGAAACCCCGCCCCGGCCCCCGGGACATTTCGCAAAAAGCTTCCAGGACTGAGGACGGTTTCTGCGAGGCCGTCGAGAGGCCTGGGCGACGCGCAGCCGGGAGGTGGTCCCATTTGGGGTGTCGAGCCCAGGACGGCTTCACCACCCCGCGCCACCTCTGGCGACACCCACGGGGCACTCTGACCTCGGGGCTGGAGTGCTGAGGCCGAGCCAGAGGAGGAGGAGGAGGAGGAGGAGGAGGAGGAGGAGGAGGAGGAGGAGGAGGAGCAGGAAGAAGAGGAGGGAGGAAGAGGAGGAGGAGGAGGAGGAGGAGGAGGAGGAGGAGTCCGAGGAGGAGGAGGAGGAGGAGGAGGGGGGGGAAGGAGCAGGGGGGAGGAGGAGGAGCAGGAGAGGAGGAGGAGGAGGCTCCGAGGAGGAGGAGGAGGAGGAGGAGGAGGAGGAGGACCAACATTTGGTGGCGCTGAGACGGCCGGCTTGGGGCAGTTGCCTGCGGGGGCCGGTCGTGCGCAGCCGCCTCAAGAGTGGCCAGCTTGGTGGGGGAGCCGGAGGCGCAGGAGGTGAGAGAGCGGAGGGAGGAGGCAGGCGATCGCAAACATTCAAAAAAGAGGGTCCCCCCCGGCGGCGCCTCCGGCGCCGCCCCTGGCGCGCTCCGCGCGCCGGGGAGGGGAGTCCAGCGCAGATCCAAGAAATCCTCGCGGAGCGCCAGAACTTTACGTTTATGTTGGTTGTTCTGCTTCTAATCAAAGGGGCGTGGATTAGCGACGCGTCCCGTTTCCATGGGACATCGCGGGCTTCCGCCGCCGAGCGAGACGGAACCCGCCACATGTTGGGGAGGGCACTTTCCCCGGATCCATGGATTGGGCGACCGCGCGCCAAATCCACGGATCGCTAATCCATGTTTGCGCGCCCCCGAGGGAGGCGGTGGCATGCCCTCGCAGTGTGTGGATGCCCAACGTGGAGCCAACATCTACCATGGGTGCCGCGGCGGTTCTCTTCCTGTGCCTCCCTCTCCTCCGTCGCACCTCTGGCCTTTACACTGCTCCACTCCTCTACTCCCACCTCCCCTTCCCTCAAGCACCATCGTGGGTCAGGCCAGCTTTGGTTCAAGCCGGCTGCTTCGCCCGGATTGGCCGAGGGCTGTACCTTTGAATCGTGTGCACACGTGAGCGCCATCACGGATTCCCAGTTCGTGGTTAGGGCCAGCTCGTCATGCACCGTGTTGTTGTTCATTTTGCTTTGCCGAACGCCTATGAACTAGTAGAGGGAGGAGGAGAGGGAGGAGGAGACGGAGGAGGAGGAGGAGGAGGAGGAGGAGGAGGAGAAGCATATGTTGCACTCACTGTTGTTTTCGGTGCAGTGGGGCGTTGGACATTGTTGAACCTCCTGCTTATGCTGGAATTGTTACTGTGCTGCTGGTCGTGCTCGCCGCTGGGCCCCTCCGTGTTCGTGTTGCTCGAGGTTGCACTCGAGATTCCCTGGTACGTGGTGCGGTTCGGTCTTCGGCTTGGCATCCTGTACACAGTAGAGGAGGGGGAGGAGGAGGAGGAGGAGGAGGAGGAGGAGGAGGAGGAGGAGGAGGAGGAGGAGGAGGAGGAGGAGGAGGAGGAGGAGGAGGAGGAGGAGGAGGAGGAGGAGGAGGAGGGGGGGGAGGAGGAGGAGGAGGAGGAGGGAGGAGGAGGAGGAGGAGGAGGAGGAGGAGGAGGAGGAGGAGAGAGGAGGGAGGAGAGGAGGAGGAGGAGCAGGAGGAGGAGGAGGAGAAGGAGGAAAGGTGAAGAGCAAGTCGCGGCAAACGAACTAGCCGCCTCCACCTCCTTCCCCCTCCTGCTCTTCCCTGCTGCTCTTCCTCCGGCCTCGCCCCCTCGGTGCTGCAGTGCATTACCATCCTAGCGTTAAGTCGGGCCTGTCCCCCTACATCCTCCTCCTCCTCCTCCTCCTCCTCCTCCTCCTCCTCCTCCTCGGGGATTTTCGACGAAAAATAAAAACAACACGCCAAAAAAATAGTCCAAAAATAGTCCGGGGAATATTTTCTGAGCATTTTTTGGCCAGTTTGGAGTATGTTTTATGAGTCTGTTTTATTTTTCGTCGAAAATCCCCCCGTAGGGGGACACGCCCGACTCAATCCTAGCGGTGATGAGGTGCTTCCTCAGCTTGACGATGGTGATGCTTGTCATTACCCAGACAGATCTGCGAATCCTGAACCGGCGGTGCTCATCCATAGGATTACCGTGTGCCCGATCGCGTTTGTCCTGAGCGCATCGGCGTTCACCCTGAGCTCAATTGTCTCCATCCTCCTCCTGACCATGCTCATCTTGTGTTATGGTGTTCCAACCCACCTTAGCCTTGATAACGACGACAGCAACAACGACGAGCTGATGACCCCGCCACAGGCTCGGCACATGGGGCGGGCGGTGGAGGGAGGAGGAGGAGGAGGGCCTAGTCCCCTATGTAGGGTTCCTGATGACAAGCGTGTCGACTGCACCTCCCTCCCATCCTCCTCCTCAGCGCTCTGAAGGCCTGGCCCGATTCGTGCAACCTCAACCTCTACGACGACGGCGGCGCCTCCGTAGGCGGGCTGCGGTCCTCTTTGCCTCCCTTTGCTTGGCTGCTCGGAGCGAGGACGGCGCTCGAGGTATTCCGTCGGGGGCCTTCGAACGGTGTGTGTTGAGCCACGCACGGAGGGGGATCGCAGCAGGGGGAAGGCTCTTAGAAGCACCCCCCCTTCTTCGAAGGATGGGAAGCCGGTACCGGGGAAGGGGTCGGGACTTCGAGGGGCCCCGTATTGAAAAAATCAGGACGTCGAATGTCTAGGATAGGACTGCCACCGTGCCAAGTCGATCCGCGAATCCGCCCGTGGGTCCACTCGAGGCTGTGTTGCTGAAGGGGGTTCTGTCCCTCCAGTTCCACCGTTCTGGGCCTCTGGAGGCCAACCAGGGACAGTGAAAGGACGAGTCAGGATGAACAGCTATTGCACTTCTTGGAAGCCACAAAACCATCGGGAAGCGTATTTTGAAGGCGGGCTCTCGAATCGGATCGCAGCGTGCAATATGCCAGCGGCTGCAGGATTTGAGCACTCTTTCGAGGGCAATGGACGGTTCCCCGAGGCGAAGCAACATGCTGATCGCATTGGCATATACATTTATGGAGCAGTGCTTCTCCATCATTTCATCCCATCCCTGCCCTCGGCCCCGTGCATCCATGCCTGACTCTGTTGCCCCTCCCTCCATCCATCCCTCTTCCTTCTCCCTTCTTCAAATGATGTTTCCTCGTTCATCGTCCTTGCCTCTTCCTCCATCCCCACTCTTTCAGATTCTCCTCCTCTCCCCTTGAGCCTCCCCACTGATCCTCCCTGTTGTCCTTCTCTTTCTCCTCCGTTTCCGCCGTCGCCCCCACCGCCTTCCGATCGGTCCCGGAGACGCCCCGCCAAAGTGGCACAGCACCAAACGGATAACACCGGAACCAACAGAATGCGCCTTTAAGCGGCACCGCGTCAAACGAGGCATCTTCTTCTTTGTTTTTCTCGTCCTCGCAAGCCACGCCCACTTGTCCTCCAAGGTCAGGTATCGTGGCAATACCAAGGTTGTGTTGGTTTCTCTCTCTCTCTCTCTCCATTTGTGCTTTCGTTCTCTTTCTCCTCCTCTCTCTCTCTCTCTGTTTGTTCTCTCTCTCTCTCTCTCTCTCCCTCTTTCTCACTCCGGAGCGAACATCGGCATGAACAATCGTCAGGCAGCGAGCAACGAGTGGTCGGAGCGTTCAGCGGAGTGCCACATGAACTCCGTCGACGTGCGAGAGTCAGCTCGCCCGCCTCCGAGCGGTGCGGAAGGTTGCCCCCGCCTTCCCTACCTTTCGGGGGGAGCGTAAGACCCGGGTTTGCCAGGAATTGGGGGTTCGCCATCGTTTTTTGACGACCGCAACTCGGATTTTGACGAGGAGGAGTTTCGTGGGATGTCTGCGGCGGGAGGCCTCGTCAAAATGCAGGCTCGGCCTCGTCATTTTTTTTGACGACCTCGTCGGGGATTTCCGAGTCCCCTCTACCCGGGTCTTACGCCCCCCTGAACCTTGCGCGTAGCAGTCTTGAAACCTCCGTGGTTGGATCGAAACGGGGCCGCGGAGGTCGCAGGGCGTCGTTGGTGGGGCCCGCGGGCACCAGAAGTTCAAAACCAACCGTTGGCAGCTCTACAGTGCGAGCGCTCGCCTGGCCAAAATTTGCACATACCAGCGGTTCCTTATAGCATCCTCCAAACCCGCCGATTCTCAGAGATTTCGAGTAATCCCGATCCGATTTTGTCCCGATCTTCGCGTCGTTTTACCTGCCCCTGGGCGGCTGGAAAGTTTATACCCCTACAGTGCCACCGTAAGGGTATAAACTTTCCAGCCGCCCAGGGGCAGGCGCCCCCGACGGCGGAAACATATTATTTTATACCGTTCTTCGCCCGTTAGTTTCAATTTTTCGCGCAGGCCCCCCCAACGTACCCCCCCGCGCGAGGGTTGCGTTGCGATGCGCCCGCATGTGCGGCGTCGTTCGATGCTCGTCGGCAGTCGTCGTCCTGGTCACTATTCGTCGTTCGCCGTTCGCCGTCGTCGTCGTCGTCTTCGTCGTCGCTTGTCGTCGGTCGTCGTTCGTCGTTCGTCGCCCGTTTGTAGTCGTGTGTGGTTGGTCGTTCGCCGCCGACGGCGCTCGTTTCTAGTCGCGCAGCGATGCATCCGCGGGGAAGTGCGACGCATGTTACCTCCCCCTTTAAGGGGGCAGTGGGGGGTGGAGGCGACGAATGGAGCTTACTCTCGGGCGCAGCCGAGGCAGGGCGGGAGGGTGGGACACGAGCGTCGCGAGCGCGCACAAACGCATCCCACCCCAAACAATCCAATTGGGGGGCGTTCTGTCTCTGTCTCTTCCTGTCTCTCGTGCTCTTCGTTTTTACCAGCTTCTTGGGCTTACGCCGCACCGCCGATCCCTTGGTGGGCTCCTGGTAGGTCTATCGGGGGCCTCCTGGCACCACTTTTGAAGCCTTTGGGGGGCCGTTTTGGGGCCTGCTTTGGGCCTCTGGTGGGCCTCTTGGAGCCTCGTGAGGGCTTCTTGTGGGCTTCCTGGGGCTTCCTGGAGGCTTCTTTGTGCCGAGGGCTTGAAATTTCCGTTCGGGCCCCCCGCTTGGACCCCCTCCTGACGCCGTCTTTGGGGGTTTCTTGGGCCGTTTTGGGGCGATCTTAGAGGTCTCTTGGGCCGTCTTAGACGATGTGAAAGCCCGAGTGGCGAATGTGTTAAACACATACGCTTCCCCAGCGGGATGGGACGATTTCTGCTTCAGGGGGCCTCTTGGGGCGTCTCGGGGGCCTTTTGGGCTGTCTGGGGGCCATCTTGGGCGTCTTGGAACGATCCATCTGCGACCTGGGGCCCTCTTGGACCGTTTTGTGGGCCTCTTGGGGCCATCATGGCCCGTCGTGAGGCCTGTGGCGCGTTCAGCCGGGGCCGGCCAGACCGCCCCAGGGCCCCTCCAAACCGTCCGGACTGGGCCCCGGGAGGGGGGGGGGAGGGGGGAGCATCTCACACGCCGATGACCCCAAGGGGTCGGCTGGTTTCGCTTTCCCCCTGCACTCGTGCCCACGCCGAGCTTTGTGGAAACTGCACGCGTGAACAGCCAAAGGCATCTTTCGAAACAGGGTTGCCGCACACTTCGTCTCCTTCTACTTTCCTTGGAGAGTCATGGGGAGTGGAAGACGGAGGAGACGAACGGGAGCATTTTTCCTCCCCGCCGCCCCGTCCTCCTCCTCCGTTCCCCGCCCCACCGCCACCATCCGTCCTGCCCAACCCCCTCCGCCCTTTTCCCGCTTCTCTGGCATTCTCCTTGCCCCTTTCCCACAGCCCTCTCCCATTCTCCCCCTCGCACTCCCTCCCTTTCTCGAGGAGGAGGAGCGGAGGGGACCACGGGGCCCAGGGGACACGGCGTGGCCGCCGCCGCAGCCGAGGACGCCCATAGGGCCCCTCCTCCCCCCCTCCTGGCCCGAGCACCGCCAACCACCGCCGCTCGCCCGGCGCCCGAGCGCTGCGCCCGAGGAGCCCTGCAGAGCCATGCCCCCGGGCCGGAGGCCCCGCCGCTGGCGGCGCGGCGAGCACGGCCGCGCGGCGGCCGCGTGGCCGCTGCGCGCCGCGGCCCTCGCCTGCGCCGCGGCGCCCGCCGTCGCGGGCCTCTTCGCGCTGCCGCGCCTCCCCGCGGCGGCGCGCGCGCCCGCCCCGCGGCGGCCTTCCCCGCGCGCTTGCGCCGGGCGCGCGGCCGAGGGCGCCCGCTCCCCCGCCGCGGGGGCGGCGGGCGCCGTGGCCGAGATCGCCGAGCCGGGGCCCGAGGCGGTGGGTAGGGGCACAGGCAAGCCCAGACAGGATCGCGTCGTCAGGAACTTCGGGCGGGAGGTTTTTGGCCGTTTTCGGCCCCTGGGGGCCCTCGCGGGGCTTCGGGACCGTCAAAAAACGATTCAGGATGAAAAACCGATCCTGGGCAAAGGGTCGGCACTTCTAGTGGCCCCGTATTGAACAAATGAGAATGTCGCATGTCTGGGACGGCATGCACATACAAGCTCGGAGAGCCGCGCGGGTTCTTCGGATCGGCACTAGGGGGGCGCCAGGGGCGGCGCCGGCAGCGCGCCAGAGGCCGCGCTGGAGGCGCCGACAGGGGGCCCCAGCGCCGAGCCGAGGAATCCGCGCGGACCACCCGAGTTGTTTATGTTTGTGTCGGAGCTTGTTTCCCTACGGAGGTGACGGAGGCTCCGTCGGGCTCCACCGTGGACTCCGGCGCGCCTGCAAAGGTGACCATGGACTGGCCTGGGTCCGAAGGTCCGGGGGCCTCATTCCGAGGCGCGGCATCCAGAGGCTTGAGAGTAGTCTTAAGTCGGCCCTGTCCCCACACAGGGGGGTCTTCGACGAAAAAATATAAGAAAAATGCAACCAAATGGTCAAACCATATTGAACAAATAGTCTCCATATTATGTTTTGGACCATTTTCTTATTATTTTGGGGTATCTTCTATTTTTCGTCGAAAATCCCCCTGTAGGGGGACAGGCCCGACTTACGAGTTGTCGCGGCGGCCCGGGTCTCAAGATATGGTGGGCCTCTGCAAGTGGTCAGCGTCGCGTCGCGGCACCTTCAAGAACGGCTCGAGGTGATGCACAGAACAGCCCTGGGAGCTGGACTCAGAGGGCCAGGGCCCATCTCTCGAGTAGATCGAGCCGCCGGATGTCAGGGTGAACGGGGACATCCCTCCTTATTCCTAGGTTGGGGCTGTCCCTCTACAGGAGGAGTATTCAAAAATAGTAAAACATAGTCCGGGGACGATTGCTCTTTCATGTTTGATCATATTGTAGAAGTGCTGACTGTGTTTAATCTTTCGTCCGTCCAAAATCCGCCTGTAGGGGGACATGCCCGACCTAACCTTATTATCATCGTCTCGGGGGTGGACAGACCTCCTACCCTGACACGTCGATTTAGTGAATTGTCAGTTTTCGGTTCTCGAGAGGTCGCCGTGGCCGTCATTTTCCAGGCTTGCGCCCACCAGGTTTGGGCCCGAGGTCGTTTTTACTAAACCACGTTTCACTAAAGGGAGGTCTGTCCATCCCCGATCGTCCTCCCCGTTCTTCGGGCCGGGCGAAAGGGGGGGATTGGGAAAGGGGGGGTGACGAAATCTGCTGCATGCAGCTGGTTTCGGCCCCACAGAGGGGCCCATTCCTCGATACATGGGCGCCTCCCGGCGCCGGGAGGCGCCAGGAAAATTAGCTACGTGAGCTGATTCTCACCCCCCCCCTTTGCTATCCCCCCCTTTCGCCCGACCCGAGTTCTCCCCTGCTCGTTCTCCCTCCGCCTCCTGCCGCAAGGGCTGCCGCCCCTCGTGATCCCGGGCGTGGCCAGCGTGGGAGCGCTCGACTGCGGCTACCTGACGTTGGTGAAGCTGGGCCAGGCCTGGCTTCACAAAAAGCCACGGCGGCATCTAACTAGGTCGTGATACTTCTCCTTCCCACACACACACACCACACACTTCAGGAGGGGAAAAACACACAGACATACTTAATCGTCGATCCCCCAGAGAATATGGGAACATATGGGAAGTGGGGGGGAAGACAAAAACCCAGAAAATATGAGAAAATATGGGGAATCTTTTTATTTGTGTGTATTTATTTGTGTGTCCCAGGGCCCCTTCAACACTGTTCACTCGGGGGGGGCACCAAGGGATATGCTGCCACGACAAACGCCTGTCGATGCTTGGACGTTGCAGCGTGTCTGGTCCGGCCCATAAAGCGCGCTCCTCCACCTGCGGCCCCACTCCGCCGACGAAGAAGCAACGACGGCGCCCACGTGTTGTTGTAGGGGGGGAAGCAGGAGCTCGGGCGGAGGAGGAGGGGGAGGAGGAGGAGGAAGAGGAGGAGAGGAAGCCGCAGAACGTGATAGTGCAGTTGTGTGTGTGTGCGTGTGTGTGTGTGTGTGTGTGTGTGTGTGTGTGCTCGCCTGCCCTGGAAGGCTCCCCTGTCTTGCCCCACGGACCCTTCGGCCGGGTGCGGCTTCGTGCTGAACTCGGAGTTCGCCTCCGTCGGGCCCGTGCCCCTCGCGGCGCTGGGCCTGGTCGCCTACGCGGCGGCGGCGGCGCTCAGCCTCGCGGGGCAGCGGGAGCTGCTCTGGTGGCTGTCGCTGGCCCAGACGGTGGCTTCTGCGGGGCTGATGCTCGTGCTGATGTTCGTGCTGAAGGCGCCCTGCGCCTTCTGCGCCCTGTCGGCGCTCACCTCGGCGGTGATGTTCTCCCTGGTCGAGGTCCTCCTCCTCCGCCTCCTCCTCCTCCTCCTCCTCCCTCTCCCCCTCCTCCTCCTTCTCCTCCTCTTCCTCCTCCTCCTCCTCCCTTCTCCTCTTCCTCCTCCTCACTCTGCTCCTTCCCCTCCTCCTCTTCGTCCTCCTCCTCCTCGAGGTCGACTCTCGACGGCGGCAGGGGCTTCCGGACCGACGGTCGATCTTCGTGTGGAGCGCAGCGGTGGCGGCTCTCGCGCTTATTGGCGCCACGCTGTCCCCCAAGCTGCGAAGCCTTCTGGGGACCAAATTCCATGGCGATCGTTTTCTGATTCATTTGTTTTGCTGATCCACGCGGGCCATCGCACCCCCTCCCCACCTCGCCCATGGAGTAGATCTTGGCTGTCTTTGGCGTCTGTGTCAGGCAGATAGAGTCTCCCCCGCAGGACGCACTGTTGCAAACAGTCGCATTAAGTAGAGGTCCGCAGCAATCCCCCCCTCATCCCCCCCCTTCCGCCCAAGATCTAAATGCCGAGTCAGAAAACGTTCACATGGCCTTCCACCCATCCCTCTAACGTGGCTGGGTCATGGACCAGAGTCTTCTCAGACCCTTCCCGGGAAGGCCCCTTGGAAGCGTCTCGGGGGCATCTTGCGAGAGGTGCCTCTGGGGGCCTGTTGAGGGCTAGTGACCGCCTCGGGGTCGTTTTGGTGGGGGGGGGGCTCCTAAAGGGCCCACTTCCCCATGTTGGGCCTCTCCGGGATCGTCTCGGGGACAACGTTGGGCTCTCGAAGACGGTGTTGCAACAGTCCATGTTGAGGACGACCGGGGGGGAGTCCTTACGCAGATGGGATACATTATGTATAATCTACGCAGATGAGACACGGTCAGGAACGTTGGTCCAGCTTGACGCGCCGCCCGCTGTGCCCTCGTTTGGGCGTGGCATTTCAAGCGTAGGCGTTCGTCTCGCAGGTATGCAGGGCTTTTTCGACCTGACGCAGCAGTACAAGCCGGAGCACCCGCCGCTTCTGACCACCTCGTCGGCGGCGGAGATTGCGCTCGCGAAGCACCTCAAGGCGTCAGGGGCCATGTGCTACACGGCCTGGTGGTGCCCCCACTGCCAGGAGCGGCGAGAGGTCGAGGAGTGGGAGGAAGAGGAGAAAGAAGGGGGAGGTGGAGGAGGAGGAGGAGGAGGAGGAGGAGGAGGAGGAGGAGGAGGCAGCTGGCAGTGCGGTAACAACGGGCGCAGCTACAGTACTTGCGCAACCTGCCATCGTGCAGGCCGCTGGGTATCGATGAGGCGTCAGCAGACCACTCGAAGAGGGGTATATCAGAGTGAGGGGTCAGCTGAAATGGGATCCCGCGATGCGTATTAATGTTGTTGCTGCTGCTGCTGCTGCTGCTGTTGTTGTTGTTGTTGTTGTTGTTGTTGTTGTTGTTGTTGTGTTTGTTGTTTGTTGTTTGTTGTTTGTTGTTGTTGTGTTTGTTGGTTTTGGTGATGGTGTTGATTGTTGTTTGTTGTTTGTTGTGCGTTGGTTGTTGTTTTTTATGTGTTGCTTGTTGTTTTTTGTTGTTTGTTGTTGTTTTTTGGCGTCGCCGCCCCCGCGACCCAGTCCGCGACCCACCCACCACCCACCCCGCGACCCGCCCCGCGACCCACCTTGCGACCCACCCGCGCCCCACCCGCGACCCACCCCGCCTCCCGCCCGCGCCCCATCCGCGTCCCATCCGCGACCCACCCGCGACCCACCCGCGACCCACCCGCGACCCCACCCGCGACCCACCCACACTGCTTTAACGAAACGTCGGCGCTGCAGGGCGCTCATTGCAGAATTTACAAAAAATGTGAACCTTTGGCGCCAGCAGCGGTTTTCTTCAGAGCCTCGCATACTGCAGGCGTCCCCGCCGCCTCCTCACTCTTATCCGCGACTGCGGGGTGCTACGTATGTTTAGACTTTCTTCCAGTCTCCCAGAGAGGGTCCGCGGGCGTTGATAGACCTCAGGCGACACCCTAGCGAATGAAAGAAAGAAGGATGCGGGTCGTTCCCTCTCTCTCCTCTCTGCCTCCTACATGTCTTGCCCAGCTTTCTTGGGTCGCCATGGACTACCGTCCAGGACTATCCGCGGCCGCAGCCACTTTGCGACGACATGGCCGACCTCGTCTAGGAGGAGTTGGCGGGGGCGGAGGTATGTTCGGGGCCTCGACATGAGGCAGTCTGGATTGGGCCTCGCTTTCGAGGACCCCAGGAGTTGACATCTCTTCCTCGGCGGAAGGGTGGCGGACGGCGTTGGAAGAAAAACGAGGGCGGTTCCGCTGGCCGAAGCCTGCGGAAGGCCGACGGACGCCGAGTAATGGAAGCGCCCCCCACGAGATGGCAACGCCTGCTGTTGGTTCATGGTTGTCTGAGACCGCCATACAGGGATGTTGGCGCGTAGGCGGCAGTGCGCAACCATGTCGCCGCATCGTCCGCGCATGGGCACATTTGGACCAGTGTCCGGACGTGCGATGCTCTACTGATTCAACCAAAAACGTATGTATTTTGGCACGTGCACGAGCTGTTGTTTGTTCTAGTCTAAGCCCTTGTGCATACAAAAGCCCATGTGCTAGAACGCCCATGTGTTCTAAACGTCTCTGCTTGGTGGGGACAAGCCTAAGTCGGGCACGTCCCTCTACAGGAGGCATGTTCAAAAATAGTCAAAAGCACAGTCTGGGGACGTGTTTTTGTTCGATGAGTCTTTAGCCATGTTTGAAGATGTTTTGACCATGTTTTATTCCTCGTTTACAACCCCCCTGCAGTAGGACATGCCCGACCTAAGATTACTTACGTAGATGAGGTACGGTCGGGGACTCTGGCCCGGCGCGCCGCGCCGCCTGTCGTGGCCCACTTCGCCCTGACGCGACATTCAGGGGCAACGATCGGGGGGGGGGATAGGCATACAGTTGGGGCGTCGACCCAAGGAACCCTAAATAAGGAACGAGGCTTTTTTCTCCTATAAGTTAAACTCCGATGTTCCATGGAAAACCTCAGGAAAACCTAGGGAGCATTGGAAAACAACTACGGAACACGGCTCCCCTCCCAAACGAACATGGTTTCTTCGTCAGCGCCCCGACTGTAGGGGGGGACGCAGCGACCCCAAATCGCCAGGTTTGACAATTGTTGACGGTTTGTTGGTTATGTTTTTTGTTTCGTCCAAAGTCCGCTTGTACCGTAGACACGCCAACGGCGATGTGGGTATCGGCGATGTAGGTTTCCGTGCTGTGGTATGCGTGGCCCGTGCGTTCCTACAATTCGTTGTGCCGTTGCCGTTCGATGTGTTTCATATTGGAGATGTAGGGAAGTGTGGATCGTGATCCCCTGCAAGGTGATTCCCAACATCACCGATAATCACAGTTGCTGTTGGCGTGGCCTTGTCAGTAGGGGACCACATCCCAGAAATATATCCGAGCACCCAGAAAAGTATCGAAACAGTGTCGAACGAGTATCGCCTCCCAGGGCCCGACACGTGAAATGCCTCCAGTTTCGTTACTCTCTTGGTGCTCGAAACTATTCCAGGTCATCGAGGCTAAAGTAGGTAGGGACATCATAAGGATAGGCGGGTAAGCTCAGGGGGAGGGGGGATGGGACCATGGGCGTGCACTCGGCGACAGACATGGCTGCGAACAAGAAGACAGAACATCTTCCGCATTCTCCGCTTCCTCCTCCTCCCCCTCCTCCCCTTCCTCCCCCTCCTCCTCCTCCTCCTCCTCCTCCTCCTCCTCCTCCTCCTCCTCCTCCTACCTCTCCTCCTCCTCCTCGTCCTCCTCCCCTCCCCCCCCCCCCGTCCTCCTCCACCTCCTCCTCCCTCCTCCTCCTCCTCCTCCTCCTCCTCCTCCCCCTTCCTCCTCCTCTCCCTCCTCCTCGCAGCCATGTGTGTCGCCGAGTTCACGTCCATGGTCCCCTTCCCCCTCCCCCTGAGCTTGCACCCCCCCTATATCTCCATGGTACCCCTACGTATTTTAGCCTCCATCACCTGGCAGAATTTCGAGCACCAGGAAAGTAACGAAACATGAGGGATTTCACGTGTCGGGCCCTGGGAGCCGATTTTCGTTCAACATTGCTTCGACACGTTTCTGGGTGCTCAAAGTTATTTGTGGGATGTGGTCCCCTCCCCCCTTAGGGGAAGAAGCAATGACAGAACCACCAAGACTCGGAGGTCCGCACGGATTTCTCGGATTGGCGCTGGAGATCCCTGGCGGCGTCTCAAGCGCTAGGGATCCCTGGGGATCCCTTGGCGCGCTCCGCGCTCCAGGGAGGGGGGTCCAGCGCGGATCCAATAAGTCCGCGCGGCCTCCGAGTTGTTTTTTTATGCCGATGTTTGTTACCCTAATATCTGGGGACGCTGAAAGAAGCCAATGGTTGTAATCCATGCCAGCGCGATACGCGATTTCAGTTTTCAATGTTTTTCTAACCTTGGCTGTGTTTCTCTCGTTCAGGTTTTTTTTGTGTGATCTGCATGTCAGGAATTTCAGAATTCCTTGACATGTCCCTGTTGTTTTTCCTGTTTTTCGCTCCAACGCCGATTAGGAATGCGCACTTTCGTTCGAAGATAGAAGTGTGATTTCGTTTTTTCCCGCCGTAGGCCTTCACGCATTATTATAATTTTCTCATCGTTACGATATGATTTGTACCTCCAGCTTTTATTCGGGCAGAATTGGGGCCATTCAAAGGATAGGGCCATTCAAAGGATGGGGTCATTCAAAGGAAGAGGAATAGGAGGAGGAGGAGGAGGAGATGGGATATTGAAATGCCCACAAGTCGGCTGCTCACGCGCTAGGCGGGCCGCGAGGCCAGCGGAATCGCTGTGGGTAAATGTTGGCTCACGCGCCTGGCGTGACCAATTGGGGAGGGAATGGTCGCCGGCGTGTTTTCTCTGCGCAAGAGGGCCGACGGTTGGGCGTGCGTTTTGAAAAGGGCCGCCCTCATACGTTAAGGGATCCTCGGGGTGTCTGAGGCGCGTAGGATATCCAGGGGTGTCTGGGCACGCGGGTGCGTTTGAAAAGAGCCGCCCTCTTACGTTAAGGGATCCTCGGAGTGTCAGAGGTGCGTGGGATGTCCAGGGATGTCTGGGCACGTGGGGAAGTGAAGGGAGAGAGGGAGAAGTAGTTTTTTTTTGTTCGGCGTCTGAAGGCGCGTTGGCCCAAGGCCCAAGCCTTCAACTCAATGCTGCAATGCAACACACAAGTGTAATTGTTGGATCAGTGAAGCGGCATTCCGTCCTTGTCGATGGCCAGTGCACATTCGATACTAGATCGTTGGCAAGATGTGCAAGTGATATATCTATTGGGATGTCGGGTGGCCTGGATCAGAGTCAGCAGACAACCATGCGCTCGAATGCTCAGCGCATCGTCTCAGATATGGTAGTACGTCGTGACGGGCCTGGTGGTGTGTGTCTCACGATAAACGATTTGTTTTCAGCTTTACAATTGCTGGATATTAAGACCGTGTCTCTGTGTATTTTAAATGTGATAGAACGACAAGCCAGAGATGCACAACTAGCCTCGCCTGCTGCACCTGTTGTTCCTGTTGTTGACCCTGTCGACCCTGCTGTTCGAAGGGGCGGCAGAGGCAGAGGCAGAGGCCGCGGCAGAGGCCGCGGCCGAGCCAGAGGCAAGGCAGCAGCCCGTCCCTGTGATGTTGATGCTCGCGATGCTCAAATCAGGATTCTGAAAGACAAATTGAAAGAGAAGAGCCTCAAACTGCGTCGTTTTCAAATGAATGCTCGTCATTGGAAGGGTGAGGCCAAACACTTGCGGACTAAGTTGTCGTGTGAGCACAAGCGCCATGCTGAGTTTGCTGAGCGGGTGACGATGCAGCGTCAGAGGAAACGCAGGGGCGTTGCTCAAAAACCATGGTTGAGTGTACGCGGCGGCTACTCGATGGCAGTGCGCCGCAACAGTGGTCACACTGGTTCGAAGTGCATGCAACTGCAGTTCATGCGCCCGACAAGTAAGGACGTGATTCCACGCTGGGAACGCCTATTGGGGACGTGCTGTGTCATGCTATCTCAAGAATGGTACAGGTGCCAGTACGACCGAGTAGCAGCTGGCATTGCATCAATGATCAACAAACCGATCCCCACAACAGC